AAAATATTTCTGTTTAGGAATATTTTCTTCTATAGTTCAGAAATGTGTTTGAAATTTGCATTTTAGTTGGCCTTCAACAAGCTGGCATTTATTTGTACAACTTTCCTTAAATATAACAAGCCAACTTATGAATGAGATGTTTAATTAAAATTGTTGTTTCAAAGATTGAAGTAGTGAATATATCTTACTTTACTAAGTGATAGCGAGCGGACGAAGCCTGCTAGTGCTTTATAAACACCAGTATATATATGAGAATAGAGACTTGTTAGCGTACTGATATATATGAACAGTTGTGGGCAGAGATATTATTTATATAGAAATGCTTTAAATGAGGAATTATTATATGCCATTCCATTTAGACTAGTATGCTTATCTTGGCTATGCTCGCAACACTTTGGTTTTTGGATGTTCCCCACTTTTATCCTTAGGGTACGGTTGGCTGCGCCCTTTTATAACTTACCACATTAACATGTAATGGAATACAGGCAGTCCTTGATTATGTTCTTCAGTTTTGGTTAGCGAGATATCTCCAAAGTGTTTTGAATGCCGTTCTGGCATTGTATCAATCACAGATACTCTGAATCTTTTTTGGTGATTTTTTTTATAGTAGACAAAGCAAGATTTGAAATAAGCATTTTCCTCTTTTGTGTTAGAAAATTCTTTTAAAACAAATGTAAACAAGGTTATTACGGTAGTGTCGGGTGCTTCAGGATTGGTGTTAAATAAATGGTAGCGTTTGCAATCTTAGTCATTTCTCGTTAAAAGGAAATAAGTCGCCGAAGGAACTTAATGCAGAGCACAGGTTAAAGATGATAATTACCCACATTGAGAGAAAAGGTTACGAAGCTATATTCAAGCAATTTCAAGTGCCAATTCCAGAATTATCAAGAAATTGAAGAGTGTTACTCCATTCTCAAAGAACGGGGATAAAAAAAAAAACAAGGCATCTCATCGTTTAGAGAGGCCAAGAACAATTTAATAATCACAGTCATGGATATTTTGGCTGATTTCAATGGCTCTGGTATAAAACAACATATCTTAGAAGATACTCTGATGAACTTTACATAACACTAACTTTCATAGAACATAACAAAAGAAGACTTTACCGCTCAAAGCCAAGCATGTGAATGCTGGTCACGATTTTACAAAGTATCATTCTTTTATAAGGATTAAAGCTTTTGGTCATCAATTCTTTGGTCAGATTAAACAAAAAGAGAGATTTTTGTGCACTGGGATGTTGCCAGTGACGAAGTAGACCTTTTTAACTCAAAGATCACTGTTCAACAGCCAAGCATATACGTGACAACATTATTCTATGGACCTGGTTTTTCAGTCAGCGTGTCTGCTAGCTTACTTAAAGTGGATAGAATCATGAAAGAAGAACAGTATATTCAAAATTTGGACCAACATATCAGTAAGCAGAAAAACTTGGGATGGAACAAGATTCGACCTTCCAACAACATAATTACCCCCAGAATGTGCCAAATTGGTGTCATATATAGACAATACGACAGTGTTTAAGAGCGGTCAATCCAGTAAAGCTTAAATCAAATGAGAATTTTTGTAACCTACTAAAGGCACGAATAATAAGAACCTGAAGACCCCAACAAAAAGGAGTGGACAAAAATCACCTTTGAAATTTATTGAAATGTGGTGGTAGAGTATGAAATGCGATTACAGATTATAGTAATTAATAAAGATTTTTTAATTCATTATTAAGATATAGGTGTGGATGTCTTCTTTGGTTATTAAATTGTTTATAATGCATCAATAATATCAAGTTTTTCTCCATATTCCTTATGTAATATTTCTTTCACTTTCCTTTCTTTATATATTAATTTAGATTAGAAGAATCATTCTTTTAATGAATAAATTTTAATCAATTAAAACGGACTAGGTTATGAATACCGTGTGTGTGTGTGTGTGTGTGTGTGTGTGTGTGTGTGTGTATTTCTAAAGAATTAATAGATTTATTTTTAATTCAACAATTATTATTATAGTGGACACTTCTTATTTGAAATAGACGCCCCGTGCTTATTAATAAAAGAGTGTGTATTACTTCTATGGGCCTGCGCATTCCTAAAGTCTAAGGAAAGAAAACATATCCTACAAGAGGGATCACACATGCGTCCCCACTTTGTAGGAAATTACCGTTTGATCATCCATGCATTACCGCTCGGCCACGAAGGACTTCACAATAAGGGAAGCTCTTTTTATCCTATCACTTTTTCCAGCCTGATAGACTGTTGTGGAGTAAATTCAGTGTGGCTTCTGCATTCGGATCCCCCCACTACAATTACAAAAGAAAAGGGGATGATGATGATGATTTCCTATAAGTGTAGCCTCCCTTAAGAACTATATTTTATCAGATAGATAGATAGATAGATAGATAGATAGATAGATATGGGTATGATAAAAAATGTAAGTATATGAACATATACTTGCACGTGCATATATATTTTTCAGGTCTTATAAAAATAGTGTCCAATGTTATATAACA